AACTCAAAAGAGCCAGAGTGGATCCCAGAAGAGAGGATGCACAGTGTTAACTTTGGTTCTAACAAAGGCCTGGAGGACAACTGCAAACAGAACCTTCTTTTAAGGTGGTTCAATTCGGTTCTCCAGAGAAAAATTATGCAGGGATTCTGGGCAGGACTGTCTTGTGCCTTTAAGTGTACTCTATCTCTTGAGAACCAGAGAGTGGCAGACTGGGCACAGAAGGACAAAGTCCAACAGAGCCAAGCCTTTCCTCTGGGGCCTAGATGGGCAGGAGTTCTGATTTTTTTTTTCCAATAACCCCCAAGATCCTATTACACAGAATAAGATCAAGCTCAAGTGGAATTTTCTATCATTTCATTTTTAATTGTCCCATTCTTGTGTCCTTCTTCCCTCAATGGTAAGAACTCATTTAAAAGTTATCAATGGCGTAAGGCTAAAATTAGTACTGTAGAGAAGATGGGATGTTGCTGAAGCTCTTCTGCTGGGGTCAGCTTGGTCAGTATCACTCATTGTCACAAATGTTACCAATTTTCCGGTTAAAAGGTTCTGTTTTGGGCCTTAGCTTTAGCTTATTGTTAATAAACTGCTTGTTTCAAGTAAAAACATGTTATTTGTTTTCTTAAACACTTTATGATGCCAAAGAAAATAGTAGGTAGTGTGTTCTGCTTTAAGCAAACCCAATATGTGAATGCTTGGATTTACATATAAAGTAGGGGCAGATATTGACAAAATGCTTCAACATAATTCTTTATGTAACAAGCTTTTCTGGTGCATTTTGAAACAATTTATGGCCAGTTTTTCAGAACACATCAGTCACATTAATCAGTTCACACCTGCCTCACTGTCACATACATGGGAGTTTGCTGTCTGAATGCAGGTATATTTCCTTAAAGGATCCTCTGGTCAAAGGTATTACAACCAATGGGAACAAGAACAAAATAGATGTTCCTGAAGCATTCCTTTCTACTCAGCTTCCACCGAAGTGATACTGAAGCTACTTGGATAATTCTTTTCCTAAGGTAGGAATACAGTTTTGTTGGACACAAAGTGAGGCAATAGGAAACATTTTTTTAATGAACAAACAACTTTCACACAAACTGTCTGGATCACATTGTTATTACAACATAGATGAGCTGAAACGTTTTTGTACAGATTTGGAGGAAGGGAATCCTAAAAAGAAATAAAGCATATAGAGGTAGTTGAATAGCAATATGGGGGGAAAAAAAAGCATTATCTTATATTTCCCTTCAGTTCGTTACAGTGCAAGAGTAAAATGGCTGCTTACCAAACAAATGGAAAACACATACACATTTGCCACTGTTTATGTGGCTTGCTTGATATTTTAATCCTGGCATTACTTACAACTGCATAAGATGATGGAACTAGTTTATCTAAAATAAGCCTATGGTGCCACATTGACCTATTAACTTTCCTTTTATTCCATTATTAGTGTTGCTTTAACAATAGATAAATGTTAATCGACTTTTAAAATTATGCATTAGCTACAGTGTTGCTTTGTAAACTTCTGTTAAATCACGTTTGCTGCAAAAACATTTTAAACAACAGCTACAGAGTCATGAAGCAAAAGCTTTAAAGTGACACCAGGAACAGAGATTACAGGCACTTCTCTCTGGAGGTTAACTTAGCATGTTTGGAAATACACTTTTGTAAGTGAAAATTTCTTCATTTCACCTCTGGATGTGTGTAATCCAGATTATTAAATAGTTGTACAGTGTAATAAGGTGGGAGCTATCATTCTAAGACGAATTGAATGTGTACATTTTATGTGGCTCCTTTTCCTTCCTTCTCTTTGAACTCAGAACGGGCACAAATTGAAGCCCATGCTGCCAGCTGCTTTTTAGAACTGTCTTCTATCATAAATCAAAACCTCATTTCTCAGCTTCAAGAATGGGCTGAAAATCTTCCCTTTTCCATTGTTTGGGCTTTGTCACACACCACTGTTATGGTTCTGCCTTGGTGAGCAGTAATGGATGCAAAGTCAATATACTGGGAACTCAAGGAATGAGTCCCTGAATAAAATTCCCATCTTGGAAATGGAGTTGGTGTGGGGAACACAGACAGATTGCAGTCTGTCAACAATATGCAATCTGTTTACTGTAAGAGACCTCTGGATGCTGTGAACAAGCCTTAGGAGCTGCACCGCTCCAATGGCCAGTCACAGGGGATTATCTGAGCCCAGGTCAGCTCCACAGGTAAGAGCTGGAAGCGCCACATGCGCAATGACTCGGCTTGCCGCTTGCTGCCTAGGCAGCAGTGGGCTAGAAGCAGCTGGCCTTCAGAAAAGGCAAACTTTAAAAATAGTCATTCTCTGCCCCGCTAAGTCAGGGGCAGGCACTCTTTTCTCCAAGTTGTCTACAGAAAATTGGTTTTTTATTTTCTACATTTTGCTGGTTATTTGCTAGCAGCAGTAGTACAGTACAAAGCAGAAAGGCATGATGTCCGCTTGCTACCTTGTGTGTGTGTATATATATACACACACACACACACGAAGACATATATACATACATACAAAAAATAACCAAAAAATAACCTACTAGGCAAAAGACTGGGTCAGTCATGACAGACAAAAAAACTAACCAAATAAGTGGCACTATCTACCATGGGGGAAGTCTTATTTTTCTGGCCTAGATTTAGCTTTATGTCTTTCTTCTAGATATCCTTCATTCCCAAGCTGTGCAGCAAAACCAATTTCCCAGTGTAAAAATGGTCAAGACCAATTGATTACCTCGTTAAGGTACATCCCAAAGAAAGCCAAAGCTTAGCCTTGCATCCTGCCTTGCAACTAGACAAAGCATTCAACATAGTGGAGGCTCAGTTTTGTCATTCATAATATAGGGATATAACTGCTCTCGCAGGGTTGATATGAGAAATAAATGATTTCATGAGCTCAGGTATGTGAGATCACTTGGCTCAGTACCCGGTACATGGGGATCTCAGCACATTTTTGTTGAATCTGTTACTTTGGGCAACATAAAGAAATACTACAACTAAGCACAGAAGTCACAGATTATAAACTCTAATCATCTGGGATGGGTAAGGTTCTCAATATATTTTGGAGAACAGGGAGTGGTAAGTTGGTTATTCTAATTGAGCTAGAACTTAAGGCTTCCATTCTATCAGAAATCCTACACTGGGCGCGGTGGCTCACACTCACACCCGTAGTCCCAGCACTTTGGGAGGCCCAGGCAGGTGGATCACCGGAGGTCAGGAGTTTGAGACTAGCCTGGCCAACATGGTGAAACCCCATCTCTACTAAAACTACAAAAATTAGCCAGTCATGGTGGTGCGTGCCTATAATCAGAGCTACTTGGGGGGCTGAGGCAGGGGAATCACTTGAACCTGGGAGGCAGAGGTTGCAGTGAGCTGAAATCGAGCCACTGCACTCCAGCCTGGGTGACAGAGTGAGACTTGGACTCTCTCTCTCTCTCTCACACACACACACACAAAATAAATCCCAGACCTACAAACGGCACTACCTTTTAGCCCTTATTGAAGCGGGAAAAAAATTTCTGGTATACGATTGATCGCTATCTCTGACCCTCATTTGTTCTCCAGTCATTTCACTTTCACATAGATTTAATTCCCAAAAGAATTATCTGTAAATCATCAAATTATGGGTCCAAAAATCAGTGGTATGTATTCCCCCAAGTAAGTTTAAAGGGGTTTTAAGTGGATATTGTGTGTAAAGGCAGCGTTTTATACAAATGTAGGCCCTTGATGATATTCTATAACTATGACTAATCTAATAGTAGGTATTATTTCTTGAATGCATTCTAGGTGTGAGACACTGTGCTAACTGATTTACACGTTATCTCATTTAATTTTTGTAACAACCCTATATGCAGAACTTATCACTATCATTTCATAGATTAGAAAACTGGGGCTTGGCAAAAGTTAAATCAATTGCCAAAAGTAATATATCTAATAAGTAGAGAAGCTTAGGGCCCTTGTCTTTGTTGCATTTACACTAGATAATAAGAAACTATTAGGATTGTGTTATGACCAGATGGTCTGAGAACCAGGGGGGAGGGGGAGTCTTTTCTGCTCCCTGAGCCTTGCAGAGTTTGCTTGGGCAGAAATTATGCCTATACTTCCATCTATTTCTGTTCTTCACCTGCCCAGACTAGCTGCAAACATCAAATCTGATAAACACAAAGCTCTGGCGACAATGTCCATTAAGTGAGTGCTGCAAAGACCATCTGGTTTCTGCTTACATGTATCTTTTTTATGTTGTCTGGATCATCTCATTCTCCCTTTCCTGTTTCTAGCTACAGGTGGTGATGGGAGAAGTAAGAATTACCCTTCTCACCTTAACAGAGCAATGAGCTGTGAGTGAATGATGCAAAAATCATTCGCTATCCAAAATCACATGGTATAATTTGCATGAAAGTACTAATGGCACAATTCACTTCCTCCCTGCTCTAATCGTTTCACTCTGCCATTATAACACTCCCATACTTGTGGTACTTTACAGGCTGTCCTGCCACTGAAGGACTCAAACTAGCACTAAGCAAGCTAAATCAGGGCTTACTCTTACTTCTCACCCTGTATTCTTCCCCTACATTGAAATATTTCACCCATGCAACTAGAAGCAAAGGCAGTACTTAGATAAAATAATAGATTATCTGGCTCCCCCCCACCTTTTATTTTTTTTTTTTCGAGATGCAGGTTTGCTCGTCGCCCAGGCTGGAGTGCAATGGTGCAATCTTGGCTCACTGCAACTTCCATCTCCCGGGTTCATGTGGTTCTCCTGCCTCAGGCTCCCAAGTAGCTGGGATTACAGGCATGCACCACCACGCCTGGCTAATTTTGTATTTTCAGTAGAGACAGGGTTTCACCATGTTAGTCGGGCTGGTCTCGAACTCCTGACCTCAAGTGATCCACCTGCCTCAGCCTCCCAAAGTGCTGGGATTACAGACATGAGCCACTGGGCCCGGCCGTCTGGTTCCTTTAAAAAGATTGTTTATAGGGTTCTACTCTATTTGGCTTGTTTACACTTTTAATAAGAAAAAGTCCTTCATCAAGTGTTTCTGCCCAGGTCTTGATCCTCAGAACCTTGAGGAGAGATGGGGTGTGGAGGCTAGCTGGGCATGACTGCGATGTGCTAAACTGAACGCCATTTCCTCTGAAGAGTTAATTATGATCCTGCCTAAAATCCCATTCCTAACTGCACTAGGGAAAAATTAGATACACGTACAATTAGATTGCTGAAATAAATGCCTATAATAAAAATAATTCTTTCAGCTTTGTTCTGTATTACACACAGAAAATGAATTTTTTTACTTTACCTTGGCTTACACCATAATCTAGGCCAAATCCCTTAAGTATTTTATATTGTTTAGTTCAAACTGAAAAAAAAAAGCGGACTCTGAAGACAGATTATCTTAGCATCATTCTGAACTTCTTTTAAGCATCCACTTGGATAGATACAGAAATGGTCTAAGAACTAGTGTCACCGTAGTAAAAAACAGATTAAAGCAAAAACTGCACACTTCTAGTATTGTTATTTCCCCCTAGGTACACGGTAAACCACATCAATAAATAAAGCAACGAACTTTTGAGCAATATATGCTTACATAGTTACAAACATACATGTAGAAAAAAGGATACAGTAGTGCAAAAAATAAATTATTAAAACAGAAAGAAGTATGAACATTATTTTACACAATGCTCTATAAAACCTGAACCATTTGGAATGAGACCTCAAGTCAGTGAAATTATACAGCAACATTATTAGTATCTTTGTTTTCACATTTCAACCACACAGTCATTGATCTATGAAAGAAAGAATATTAAAGCAAAACCACTTTAAACTTTTGGAAATTTTAATGTTAAAATCAAATTATGTTTTTCTGGGCTCTTAAATACCTCTGCTGTTTATGTAGTTACGCAGCATGTCAAGAAGCATCTTAAGACAGAAAGTTTCAAATAGGTCACATTCTTTTGGTCTTTCTACTCAATTTCTCTCTGTGATCAACAGCAGGCTCACGCCTCTGTTTGACACTCCCTTCTGTTAAGATATTATTGCAATTAGATATATTTACAAGACTCCCCCCAACGGCAGTGGGGAAGGTGGGAGCTCCTCTTCAGCAATCCACTCACTAGTTTTGGTTTCGGGATATGAAGGCCAGGACTCGTCGAATACCATTCAGTCTGTCCTTTAAGGACCTCATTGCTAGGAAGGGGAGCTGAGCTCGGCTTTCCAAGGGAAGAACCGCTAACATCCACCAGCACCAGGCTGGGCCATTCGGGTTCATCTGCAACAGAGAAATACAATGGGGTCATTCTATTCCCATCCAAGAACATCAGTCTGCAGAGTTGCAAATGCTCAAGGTCAAGACCCAGGTAGAGCAACTCCATGTGGCAGATTGCTAATTGTCCCTATATCTATTTTCCCCTTTATTTTAGCAGAGCATATAGCCACCCAGAAAAAAGACTGCATTTCTGAGCTTCCCTTGCAGCTAGGTGAGGCCATGAGACAAAGTTCTGGCTAATGAGATGTAAAGGGAAGTGGTATGTGTAACCTCTTGGTCATGCTCTGGGAAAGCAGCATATGCCCTCTGCCTTCCTCTTTCTCTCCCTTTCCCCTAGCTAGAACATGGATGTGGTGAGGATCAGCCTTCCTCAATCAAGAGGATGAGGGCAACATTCTAAGGATGGTAGAGTTTTGTGATGAAGGAGCCTGGGTCCCTGAATGCTCTTGTGGAATAGAGCTGCCCTAACTGTCCAGGACTTAGCCCCTCCATCTTGTTTAAGCTCCGGTCATTTTTGGTTCTTGTTAAAGCAAACCAACCAATATCCTAACAGATACACCATGCTTCCTAGCCAATGTGATTTTACAAGCTAGTATCTACTATGTAGTCTCTTCCATTTCTAATATTCTGTTGAGGTCCTTTGGACTGATGCATTTAACATTCAGGCCTTCAATTCCCATGACCCCTTGACCTTTGCATGTCTTTTAAGTCCCCTCATTTCTTTGATGTGGCTGAAGGCAATAGTCCAGATATACCATGTCACTATACAGGGCCACAGCTCTCTTCTCCCCTGAAAACCAAAGGCTATGATTTACAGTACCAAAGAATCACAACCTCACTTTGCAAAAATTCCAATTAGAAAACATTCACATTAGAAATATATTCTGCCCCGGGGCTGGGAACGGTGGCTCATGCCTGTAATCCCAGCACTTTGGGAGGCCGGCAGGTGGATCACGAGGTCAGGAGATCGAGACCATCCTGGCTAACATGATTAAACCCCGTCTCTACTAAAAATACAAAAAATTAGCTGGGCGTGGTGGCGGGTGCCTGTAGTCCCAGCTACTCAGGAGGCTGAGGCAGGAGAATGGCGTGAACCTGCGAGGTGGAGCTTGCAGTGAGCCGAGATGTGCCACTGCACTCCAGCCTGGGTGACAGAGTGAGACTCAGTCTCAAAAAAAAAAAAAAAAAAAGAAATATATTCTGCCCCTAGATTTCCTTTTAAGATAAAGAGCTTTCCTATTCCACATAAATCCTTCCCCAAAATTCTGTTTGTAAGCAGCTTCCCTGGCACATATTTTAGACATTGGGAACTTATTTCCTTCTAAGCCTAAAACGAGCTTTCTGCCCACAACTTTCACAAGTTTGGTTTTAGGACTACAGAGAACCATTCTGGTAAAAGTGCCTACACCTGAAATTATTTGGCTCCAAATTGGTTCCTCTGATCGTCACCACATCTCACTGCCTTCTTTGCTTCTTTGTGCCTCTAGCTTCATTTGCGTTCTTTTTTGTCCCTCCCTGAAGCTGGCAACATGCTCTCCCTCCTATTATCAGTTCTGAATATTAGACTGATGTTCTGAACTTTTTTTCCAAGGATCACCAACAAAGATATTTAAGCTGGTATTAACACTTGTGGCAGTTTCTAAGAAACATCCTCCTGACAGAACATTCTTATTTGTGGGACCACTGGGGCTGCAGCATTGACTGGAGCAAACTGGGATGGCTTTGGGTTTTTCTTTTTTGCTGGTGCTGCTGCTGCCAAAGCAACATAATAACAGAACTAAGAAAAAAGGAAGTGAAAGCCAAGATTTCAACTTTCTCTGTCATTAGCCTTTATGAATCACACTGTAGCATCTGTGTTTTCCCGTTACCATTGCTGATCTGTATCTTTTGCCTAAGGGAGAACGCTTCCCGGAAGGTGAAGGGGAACATTAAGCTTGATCGTGAGTTTGCTCAGAAGTATATGCTGCAGTCCTGACTCACCGTGGCCCAGAGCCAGGAGCTGGGTCACAGGAAGCACTAACTGGCCTTTCTCCCTTGAAGACTCATGATGCCTTTGCATGGGTGGGGAAGGAGCCACTTTTGTGGTCTGAGGAAAGCAAGACGTTTCAGCTCGTTAGGGAACAGACTGGTGTCTTAGAACCTCAGAATGCAAGAGGAAGAGGCGGTTTTAGACCCCTCCTCATGTCAGAGATGGGACAAAAGTTGAGAAAGGGAAAGGGATCTTCCCAAGGTTATACTGCTAGAAAGGTAAGAAGGACCAGACTTTTGGTCAGAATATGCATATTTAGATATTTCTTTTGTGACAGAGTTGAGGATGAGCATAAGTAAAGAATCAAGGAAGTTCTGTGAGTGTTGATGTAGGAGAGCCAGCTCGGAGCATAGAAAAAGATGGTGATGAGGAAGTATGTGGTTAGGAGATCTCCAGCCTTATCCTAGAAAGAAAGTACTCCCTGATTTATACCAGGCAAGCAAAGCTTAGTGAAAACCATCTCCACTCTCCTAGAGAGCTTCTGATCTGCAGTTTGATCTTGCAAATAGGCCTATCCCCCAGGAAGAACACTGATCAGTAGAACCTAACAAACTACTTTCTAGTATAACTCAACCAACAGTATTTAATGATGGGGTCAGTTTTCTCAGGAGCTGTTCAGCCCTGGTGAGGACAATAGCAAGGGTCTAGACTTGCAGGGCAAAGCATAGATAGACCGAGGCATGAAAAGTTTTTGTGGTCTTGCAGTTGTAATCTTATAAGGGTAGCTGGCCCTATCCCCTAGTTCCCAAAGCAATGAAGGAGAGGGTTATGAAGTTACCTAAAAGCAGCAGCTTTTGGTCTCAGCTCCCAGGATACCCTTCTCTTTAGTCCTGGCCTTTGCACGTATCTTGTCACCCTAACATTACCATGGTGTGAATCTGGACTCCCATGGAAGGTTCTTCTGTTGGTGATATCTATGTTCCCATTCTCTTATCTTACTTAGTTCTCAAAACCTTCCTTGAATCCAAGTTCCTACTGCTTTACTTTAGTTACCCCCAATTCTAACTTGGGATCTTTTTGGTCTTACTCATGACACTATGCAGCCAAACAACACCAAATTAAATCCATCTTCCTCTCTGTATTCAATGTGCTGAATGGCAACCACATACCCATCTAATCACAAACACTAGGCACTCTCTTCTAGTGGGGCAACCCGTTTAAAGTAGACATTTTTCTATACCTGAGGATCAGCGTCTTTCTCCGGCATGGGACCAAAGTGATTGAGTATCCGATTCTTTAGGGATGATTTGAGTGAATGAAACCACAATGACGCTTGCTGATAGACACAGTTATGTAATCCCATGAGCTCAGCACAATCCTCTCCCTGAACCTGAAAATATCAAAGTGGAAGTGAAACATTCTATACCCTCTCCATCATTCCCGGAGTCACTTTTGACACCTGACTCGCTTTGAGCATCCATTCTGCCTTCTTATGGGAAGGCTCACCCATCCAGCTTTCTCCTGTGCTTGATGTGAAATTCCCCTTAGTGAAGTGCTGGACAGTGTGTAGATACTGCTGAGCATGGAGGAAGGAGAAGGGCTCAGCTGGTAGATTAGCTGAAACAGCAAAACATGCAGAAAACCAGAGATTCAAACCAGCCTGAGTGGAGGCATGTGGTTAAATCAGGTTATGCTGGTCCATGCCTTTGCCCTTTTCATTTTCACATCTGTTTTCCCATTGCTAGCTGGAAAACACACAGGAGTATGTCAGTCTTAGCATGTAACTATCTTGGTCAAACACATTTACTTAGTCATCAGATATTTATTAATCTACCATGTAACAAATGTAAATATAAATGAACACAGGATTATTTACCTCTTCTTGCACCCATTAGCTCAGAAAACCAAGGATTAACTAGATGTGTCATCTTTCTGCTTTATGGGATGATGGATTATTGGGAAGGGCTCTTAGCCAGGTTACGTACTTTAAAATACAAATGCACGTGTGGATCTATAATTGTCTCAAAAGAAAAAAGTTTAAAATATACATAAATCGATGGATAAAATATATACATATATATAGACCCACCCCAGATCTATTCCTTGGTATCTTTGACAAAGACTTAACTCCCAAGCTGAATGAGCCCCAGGGTTGATCTAGGATAGCATTTCTTACGCATAAATGCAACTCAGTAGCTAAGCAGAACCAGGACAATAGGTGCCCTCACTGCCGTACTGCAACTGGATAGCAATCCAGCAGCATTCAATGCTGCTGCAGCAATTTGGTGTGAAATCCCAAGGCCCTCAAGGGCTCTGAGAAATCCTTTCGCAATTATCTTTGTGTACCAAGTTACGAGGATAGCCTGGCTTTGGGATTCTTGGCACTGGCCACCCTCACCTTTTGGTCTTCAATGTATTCAATGTCGGCTGTGTTGTAGCCATCCCGCTGGCTCTGATGGAGCACCCTGAAGCGCCTCTTTCCTATGCTGTCAACCACTGAGCGGCCATCGGCAAAGAATTGAACATTTCTGATCTCTAGGATGCAGCCATATTCTGCAAACCTGTTTATTGAGAATGGAGTCGAGAGAATAGATCCTTGATGAGTTCTGTTTCCCTGGCCTGGCACCCAGCCATTTCTGTAACCCCATGCTGTGGCTCAAGGGACTTCTGCCTATTTTCCTGTCCCTGGGTTATAGTTTCAAGTATACAACAGGCAGTGCCTGTGTGAAGAAAAACAAATCATAATGTGTTTGTGTAACTGCTACCATTTATTGAGCACATACTATGTGCCGTGCCAGTGCTATGGTTTGAATGTTTGTCTCTACAACCCATTTTGAAATTTAATTGCTATTGTAGTATTAGTAAGAGGTGGGACATTTAAGAGGTGATTAGGCCTCCACCCTCATGAGTGCATTAATGCTGATATGGTGAAAGTAGAGTAGGGTTGTTATTAATACAAAAGGGCAAGTTTGACCCCCTTCTTTCTCTCTCTCTGTTGCCCTTCCGCTATGCCCTTCCACTATGTTATGACAAAGGAAGAAGGCCCTTGCCAGATGCCAGCACATTGATCTTGGACTTCCCAGCCTCCAGAACCATGAGAAATAAATTTCGATTGTTCATAAATTATTAGTCTGTGGCATTCTGTTACAGTAGCACAAAATGGACTAAGGAAGCCAGGAACTGTGCTCAGCATTTTATGTACATTATTAACTCACCAATCTTCCCAGCAAACCCAACGAGGTAGGTACTATTATTGTACCCACTTTACAGATAAGGAAACTGGGATACAGGGAGGTTAAATAGCTTGCTCAAACTCAAACTTGCTCCAAGGTTGCAACTAGATAATGAACACAGGCAGTTTGACTCCAAGGCTCACATTCTTACAAGTTTTATAACATATACCACTTGCTTAACCAAATATTAATTCTAGAGTTCTTTAAATAGACAGCCTCTCACATGGTAAACTAACCACCAAAGGGACCATGATCCTTACAAATGCTTATATTCTTCAGTTGGCTAACCTCATGAGCTAGGCCTCCCCATCTCCTGGGAGTACCCCAAAGTAAAAGAGAAATCCCTCATTACACAACCTCTTTTTGCTCGCATGGCTCCTTACTTACCCTTTGACAGGATCTCCAAGGCACATGCCAAACTGTCTCGTGCCTGTCTCAATGCATCTACGAATCATCAGGCGGTAACAAGGCTCAAAGATGTGCAGGGGACAAGGAACGGTGGGATAGGCCATAGTACACACGAAAATAGGCACATTCTTATTAAGGCTGTCAGAGAGAGCAAATGACAGGGATCTCAAAGCAATCGGACAGAACACAAAAATGTTGGTCAAATGTTAGCATGTGATACCCCTGGGGGAAGGCAAAGAGACACCAGTTTGTTTTTTGACGGTGTCACTTGCCAAAGATACATCAAGTTTTGATGGCTAATAGAAAAATATTGAAATGCAATTGATAGTGTGGGCTGAGTTCCATTATCCGATGCAGAGGTTAGCCTAAGGTCTAAGAAATTAAAATTGGCATTCTACACATTTTAATTTGGCTGAAAAAGTTCTCTAGCACCTTAATATTGTGGGTGACAGCTATAACTCATATCTTGTCTTTCTTTCTTTCACGCTCTCTACTCAAAACAATCTCTTCAGGTGTTTTTCAGGCTGCATGGGGAAGGCTGCTGATGATAGAAGTGGACTCAGCTCTCCAGAAGGGTGGTGGGAAATTCTATGTAAGGTCCCTAGGGCACCTCATATTTGCAAGGACCCCAAAGAATCTGCAAAGTAGGCACAGCTGAAAGGAGGAAGGACCAAGAGATAGGCAAGAGTAATCCAGCCCAGTGATGCTCAAATGCTTCTTTGCATCAGAATCACCAGGGGCTCTTAAATCAAGATGACTTGGACACCACATTACCAGAGATACTGATGCATTAGCTCTGGAATTGGAACCCAAGGGTCTGCCTTTCTCTTTCTTCTTCTCTTTTTTTTTTTTTTTTTTAGCGTAATCTTACTCTGTCACCCAGGCTGGAGTGCAATGGTGCAATCTTGGCTCATAGCAACCTCTGTCTCCTGGGTTCCAGCAATTCTCTTGCCTCAGCCTCCCGAGTAGCTGGGATTACAGGTGCATGGCACCACGCCTGGCTAATTTTTGTAATTTTATTAGAGACGGGGTTTCACCATGTTGGCCAGGCTGGTATTGAACTCCTGACCTCAAGCAATCCACCCGCCTCTGCCTCCCAAAGTACTACGATTACAGGCATGAGCCACCATGCCCGGCCCTGCCTTTCAATAAGTACTCCCAGAGAGTCACACACACAACCTGTTGGGGAACCAAAACAGAGCCAGCTCCTCTGGGATCCTTGTCTTCTTATTTGTCTAGTAAATTCAACACAGGAACATCTGAACCTAAACCTATCAAGAAATACAAGACCAACTGCCCAAATCTCAAAAGGATCAAGTTTAGGATTCATTTACATAGAAAGTCCTAATACATCTCAGTATTTGTTAATAAGACCTTAAATGAGATTTGAGATAAGGGCTCAAGAGGCTCAATGCTAATTTACAGATCAGAAATAAAGATAAAGATCCCCTGAGTAGTTTCAATGTAAATTAGTGAGAAAAAAAATGATTTCTAGTTTCTGAGAAAAACATTATTCAAAGTGAGGAGTGCATTCAAACAAGTCACTGGCAGAGTTTACGAATGTTCTCTACACAGTGGGCATGAAACCAGAACCATTTTTGCTGTCAGGAACCTTGCCTCTGGAATGCTGTTAGGATTCTACTGCGGATCGGGGGAGGGGAGGGCAGAAGCAAGACAGGCAGAAATTAGTGATTGCCTCCTGCTTTTTCTGCGAAGGGAGCTGTTCTCACAGCTAGGCGGAGGGCTGAGAGCCTCACTGACACCTCTGACCCTCCCCTTCACCTTTCACATTACCTGTGCACGGCAGAGAAAGCACTTAACAAGTATTAGTATTATTACCATTAATTAAGTGCTTACTATGCACAAGGTCATTTGATTTTCATAAGAAGTTCATGAGGTGGCCAGGCATGGTGGCTCACGCCTGTAATCCTAGCACTTTGGGAGATCCAAGTGGGAGGATCATTTGAGGTCAGGAGTTCAAGACCAGCCTGTCCAACATGGTGAAGCCCTGTCTCCATTAAAAAATACAAAAATTAGCTGGGCATGGTGGTGCATGCCTGTAATCTCAGCTACTTGGGTGGCTGAGGCAGGAGAATGGCTTGAACCCAGAAGGCGGAGGTTGCAGTGAGCCAAGATCACACCACTGCACTCCAGCCTGGGTGACACAGTGAGGCTCAATCTCAAAAAATAAGTCCATGAAGTAAGAACTCAAATTATTAAATTATTCTCAAGCTACAGATAAGGAAACTAAGGCCCAGAAAGGTTAAGTGACCTGCCTAGGGTTGTGAAGTAGACTCACGTTGAGGTAGAACTGGGTCTTAAGCCCGGTTCTGGTTGACACCAAAGTTCTTAACTTCATAGCAACTCCTTATGTATCTGAAAACAATCTTTTGGCCATTTCGTTAAGTTCCCCTGATTAAGCTACTCCAATTTACTCTCGCCAACAAATACCCTGTTACTGGGGGCAGGGTGTACCCTCATCACTGGTTTCGCTTATGCTTCTTCAGTGGTATGCTGGTATGTTTAACAACTGGCTCTCTGGGTGCAGGGGAAGCCCTGGTTTGTAGCACTTGCCAATTTCCATGGTGTAAATACTCTCACCATAGCCAATTTCAAGCAGCTGGCAGGACATCACTAAGTCGGAAGCTGGGAACTAATGTGCACATTCAGCTCTCATGAGCTGGTATGAGGTAAACAAAACAGAAATATGCATATACATACTTAGAAAGTTCTTCCATTTCCTCTTCGTAAAGCTTCCTTCGTTCCTTCAGTTCTTCTGGAAGGAATTTAGCTATGAGCTCCTCCATTATTACATTTTTGCCGTATTTTCTTGATGCCAAGCACTATATGGGGGGAGGCAATTAGATAATATGCAATTAGGTAATACGCAGTCATCAGCAAAACACTTCTGATGTAATCACTGGACAAGTCACATGACCCACATATTGGAGTAGTCTGGACCCACAAATCAGCAGATGATACCATCATAATATATGTATTTTCTGGATGTTAGTTTCATTTTAAAAACCACACATGCAATTGATTATCTTTATAATTAGAAAAAAAAATATTTTAACAAGGGGGTAAAACCTGCATGGAAGTTTTAAAACTCTCACAATTTTCCTGAAATACTGAAATCAAGATCATGTTCTTGTCCAAAAAGTGGGGTGGGGGGAATCCTTCCCTTTCCATTTTCTGTTGATCGTGTTTACAAGCACACAGAAATGGTCTCCATCTGGGATATGCTCAAAGTTAGTGGCCAAAAGGTTCAGGGAACTAAAAAGCATTTTTCAATCACTGATCCTTTCCTGCCCTGTCCCACTCCCAGCCTAACCCAATGCTTGGGCTTCTGGATATTGCCAAATCTACCTATTTTTTCTCTTTTAATTTTAGTTTTAAAAAACACAGACAGCTAAATATTGATTTGTCTATTTGCCTTTCTAATATACCATCTAGGTATCACTGAGATTAAAAGTCATGATTTCAAGAACTGGACTCAGGCTCAATTGTCACTGTTACTCTTCTCCCAAACACCTCTGACCGATGCACACCCAGGGATGTTTAAGTAGTGGGTATTTAACAGTGTGAATCAAACAACTGATGTTAAAACATCTGCGGAGAATTGCTTGCTATGGAAACTACCCCTACAGTCCCAGCAAGGAGAGCGCCTGAGTATAAAACTGTTGGCTTCAAACAATTTTGTTCCTTTCTCAGTATGGGCTGTGTCTCTATTCTGCAGTGAACATGATTGGAATATTTAATCCTATGTAAAATAGTGCAAGCGTGACCCTATGTGAATACACAGAGATAGATGAGAATATCTTCTAGACCCCAAGTCCTGAACCGTATAGCATCTGTCTCCAGGATGCCTTATCTGCCACTGTCACTGCCATTGCCTGGCTATGGGAAAATCAACTGCACTTCCCAGTCCCAGTTTTGGGGGATAAGCAGTGATTGAGGAGGTAGTCGGTCCAAAAAGTAGGTGACTCCTCTGCTGATGCTAAAACAAAAAGCCAGAAAAGGCACATACTAAAATGTTAACTAACAGTGATTTTCTCTAGGTACTGAGCATATGGGTAGATTTTTCTTCTTTCCACTTAATCTGAATTTTCCAGTGTTACAACAACACAGATGTATTATTTAAGTATAAGGATTATGGACTTCTCACCTACAATCAGGCCTGCAAATCCTACAACTTTTATCTAGGGAAAGGTATGACATTGGCCCTCCTCCCAATCCCAACACATACCCTGAGGGCTACCAGTGATGATTATTTCACTCTATTCCCTTAATTTAAATACTGGGGTGATGGTAAAGCTCAACATGTGACTTCTCTTGACCTGTAGTCACCTAGAGATAGCCTTGCATCTCCAACCTCTCCTCAGGAATGACAGGGGTCAAGGAATATTAACACCAATCATAAAATGTGGCACATAAGTCCCTGAGGGAGGGAAAACAAGATGGATTCTCAGGTCTTCTTTTTCTATAGGAAATTCCTTCAGGTTCACTTGAAAAACAAAGGTGGGAGTCTGTGTGATTAGTTTTAGAGAACCTGGAAGTCCTAGAGGGCTGCTGTCTGCTAAATTGGCTTACTGCAAAAGCTCTAGGGCTTCCAGGTACAGTGGCTCCTGAGGGGTTGGACAAGGATCACTCTGAAGTTCTGTGAGGTTCTCCTGGGGCCTTTGGAGCTGTTATCTTCAAGCCACAGAATAAACATTGATGATAAGGGAACAGCAGGGCTTACCTAGTCCAATCCTAGAGGGGACAAAAGATTTACTCAAGATCACAGTATATCAGGTGCCATGATGAGATCAGAACCAGGATCCAAGTTTATCATCTATTTAACACTTTTGTTTCCAACACAAATTGATTTCCCTACTTACACCGCATAAAAAACTGCATGTTGCCTCATTTTCCTGAAGGGCTTTATGGAGATGGGAACAGTGGCTATAAGATAGGAGAAATAGGCTGGGCATGGTGGCTCACACCTGTAATCCCAGTACTGGGAACGAGGTGGGTGATCACCTGAAGTCAGGAGTTCGGAGACCAGCGTCCTGACCAATATGGCTGAAACCCCCTTTTCTACTAAAAAACAAAACTAGACCAGGCCGCGGTGGGCGCACGTCTGTAATCCCAGTACTTTGGAGGCCCGAGCAGCGACACGAGGGTCAGGACGATCCGAGACAACCCCTGCTAACACGGTGAACCCCATCCTCTACCTAAATACAAAAAAATAGCCCGCATGGTGGCAGCGCCGCCTTAGTCCCAGGTTACTGGGAGACGAGCAGGAGAAATGGCGTGAACCCAGGAGGGGAGTTGCGTGAGCCGAAGATGTGCCCACGCACTCCAGCCGGTGACAGAGCAAACTCTGTTTCAAAAAAAAAAAATGTACCGAGCTGTGGATGTTGGCCTGAATCCCAGCCTCCTTGGGAGGCTAGGCCAGGAAATGTGCTGGAACCCCAGAAGGTGAGGTTTTGCAGTGACCAAGGAGATCCGCCCAACTGCACTCCAAAGCCGGTGGACGAGAGTGATGACCCTCAAAACAAAAAAAAAAAGCAGGAGAAAAGATGTTAGGATATGTGCCCATAACCAAGTTGCCAGTGGCTTGGGGTCCAGTTGAACACTGTCTTAGTGCCCAATTCCAAATAAGCTAAACCTAACAAGAAAGAAATACTGATTTAAACCAAACAAAGAAATATTGATTTACCTGTGAAAGACCGTCTTTGCACAATGGACACTTGGCGTTGTGATCTAGGCATCTTTCTAGGCATTTTAAGCAAAAAGTATGCCCACAAGGTGTTGTGACTGGCTCATAGAATAATCTGAAATTTAGGAATCAAAATGGAAGAAAACTTCAATAAGACCAAAAATAAAAGAGCAACTCAAAGCTAAGGTTTTAAAGCATTATTTAGACTATTTTAGGGTGGGGGAGGAGTTCTTTTTTAAAAGTCGCTATTGCTGCACTTCAGATAAACATTTGCCTTTCGTTTTTGAGCTGGATTAAAATACATTTATTAAAGTTTAGGACATAGCTAGATCATTTTGTAACATCAATTCTAGTCTATCTCTTCTGGGGAATTCAGATTTTTTGCCCTGTCTGGTCCAAGAAAAATAGAGATTAATGCACAGAGTGTCTGGATAAAATTCTATTCTGAAAATATTAGCCAACCTGTTCACCTGAGTATATGCAAACACACACAGACACACACAGACACGCAGACACACACACTCTCTCTCCCTTACACATTTACCCACTTAAGCACTTTACATCATATTACCATGGAAAAAAACTTTGTTTGCTAACCTTGATTCCTCTTTTCGTCTAAGCAATGTTAATGCCTGAAGGATATCAAAACTGTACCTCTAACAAACATAACTGCCTTTTATATAGATAGATAATTTTCATAGGGGGAGAATAGTATTGTTAGTGTGCTTACTGATATAGACCAGATATGGATCTATATTGATGCATATACACATATACATACATTTACATGTGTACATACATATGTATACATACATATACTTCAATTTGGTACTATTTTAATTGCTTGGGGAGAGTAGGATATTTTCAAAGCAATGTGGGAATCCTTTTATAAAGCTGTTCTGTACCTTCAGAAATTCATGGATTTGCTTTGCTTAAAAAAAGGCTCACCTGCAGCGAGATCAGTGAGTGAGGGTAGTTGAAGATGACCGTTGAAGAGTGGGGCTTGCATTCACCAAGAGGAGAAGCACAGGAAGAATGGAAAGACCCCTCCCTGCCTGACCAGCCTATTTTCACCTCACAAGAGTGTTCAGTGGAAAGTCAGAGGCTGCCAGCTGTACGGCTCCCTCGTGTGGCCAGGAGGTGCACCAGCAGCCTGGCCAGCACTGCCAGGCTGAGTAGAAGAACCAACATGCCAGCTGAAAAGTACTTGTGAAGAAATTGAACCCACTAACTAGAATGAACCTGAGGTCCAGAAAGGTGGAAGTTACTTGTCTAAGTGTGCACAGCCAACTGTTGACAGATGAGAGTCTATCCAACTTCCACTTCCAGTCATGTGCCTTTTCTATTACAAGGATAATTCTCAACCATTGCTGTGCATCAGAATCACCTGGACAGCTTTATCTTTAAACTGCTTTATTGGTGCAAAATTGATATATAATAAATGGAACAGACTTAAAGTGTACAATTTGATAAGTTCTGACATATGTACACACTTATGAAACCATCGCCACGATCAAGATAGGAAACATACCCATCACTCCCAAATGTTTCCTCTCGCCCCTTTGTAAGCCCTCCTTCCTGCCTCCCCAAATCACCTGGGGAGCTTATGGAAACTCTAGATGCCCACTACAGCATCTACAGAGATTCAGATCAGTAGACCCAGTGTACAGGACAGGCATCAAGACTTTTTTTAAAGCCTCCTGGTGATTTTAATGTACAGCCAAGGTTGAGGATCACTGTGTTACACAAATCCCATTAATCTCTGCATAGGCAAACTTTCTGTATTGGTCTTCAAATATCAGTTACGTGTGGAGCAAAAAAAAAAAAAAAAAAAAAAAAAAATACATCGTGAAGCTCCACTGGCCAAAGTTCCAGATTCAGCATGTCAAGGGGACTAGAAAAAATGGGATATTTTTAACAAGCCAATGGAGGTCTGGAGTAGGAGAGAGACTTTTCATATATTCATCTTTTTGGTACTTTTTGAATTTTTTGATTCTGTTTAAAAAGTAGTTAATTTGTTTAACAAATTAATTAAAATTAATAAATTTTAGTTATCCAATTGGCCAAAAAGCAAAGTTTTTTTTTAAAAAAACTATTTACTATGGAGGTCTCCGTGCACTAAGGCAAGAACAAAATATGAGAACTGGAAAGGAAAAAATCAAATCTGTCATTATTCACAAATGATATGGTGAACTTAGAAAAATCTAAAAGAATCTACAAATGATTATTAGAATAAGAATAGAATTAACAAAGTTACTAGATAAATACACACACACACACACAATTATACTTCTATATACCAGCAATAAACATTAGAAATGTTATCATCTTAAAGATAACATTTACAACTGCTTTTAAAAATCAAGTGTCCAGGAAGAAATCTGACAACAGTTATAGGAGACCTCTTTTGGAAAAAGCTACAAACGCCTCATTGAAAGAAAGTAAACAGCTAAGTCCCAATAAAAAACCTCAATGGGTTATTTCATTTGTTTATTTTTGTAGAACTTGACAAGTTGATTTCTAAACTTTATAAGGAAAAGCAAAGGGCCAAGATACATCTGAAGAGTAGTGATGTGGGAGGACTCACTCTACCAGATAACAGAACATATAAAGTTGTGGTGATTAAAACAGTATATGACTAGCACAAGGACAAATAGACTCAGGGAATAGAATAGGAAGCCCAGAAACAGATCCAGATGTGGATTCTTGATTTATGACAAATGTGTCACTTCAAAGCAGATGGGGGAAAGATTTTCAGTACATAAATAGCCTTCTCAATAAATGGTATTAGGAGAGTTGGCTATCTATAGGGGGAAATGAAATTGGATCATCTCTCATATCATTCGCAAAAACCAATTCCATGTGGGCTGTAAAAATAAATGTGAAAAGCAAAACAATAAAACATTCAGAAGATGAAATAGCCAGGCACAGTGGCTGGCACCTCTAATCCCAACTACTTGTTGGGGGGTGCTGAGGTAAGAGGATCGCCTGAGACAAGGAGTTTGACACCCCATGTCTTAAATAAATTAATTAGTCAAATAAAAGAAAATAAAGATAAAAGAGGAGAATATCTTTATGACCTGAAGGTAAAAAAATGAATTATGACACAAACCCTGCCTATAAATGAAAAGATGGATAATTTTGACTGTATTAAAATGAAGCGCTTTTGGCTGAGTGCAGTGGCTCACACCAGTAATCCCAGCACTGTGAGGCCGAGGTGGGCGGATCATCTGGGGTCAGGAGTTCAAGACCAGCCTGGCCAACATGGCAAAACCCCGTAAAAATTAACAGATTGTGGTGGCGCGTGCCTGTGATCCTAGCTACAGGGGAGGCTGAGACAGGAGAATCGCTTGAACCCAGGAGGTGGAGGTTGCAGTGGGCCAAGATTGCACCACTGCACTCCAGCCTGGACGACAGAGTGAGACTCCATCTCAAAATAAAAAAGAAGAGGAAACGCTTTTAAGTTCATCAAAAATGTCATTAAGAGGGCAAAAAGGCAAGCCAGAGTAGGAGAAAGTATCTGCAACACATAACGACTAGCAAAGAACTTGTATCTAGAGCATACATAGAGCCCCTAGAAGTCAATAAGAAAAAGAGAAGGAAGCCAACAGAAAATGAACAAACACTTATATGTACCAGCAGATGTAAACAATGTTTATAGCAATGTTGCCCATGATATCCCCTAACTAGATGCAACCCAAACATCTATCCATAAGAGAACTGGTGGATTCATACAATGGAATATTATACAATAATGAAAATGAACAAACTTCACCTACATGCAATAACATGGATAAATCCTAATACTGAGTAACACAAGCCAGATTGAAAGAATAAATTCTGGATAATTCAGTTTATGCAAAGCTTTTACGTAGGTAAAACTAGATTGCATCACCTAGATATGCATATACGGGTAGTAAAGCTATAAAGAGAAACAGGATAAAAGTCAAGATAGTGGTTGGGGTAGGGAGGATACCTACCTCCCTAGAGGTATCCTCTATGATTGGGAAGAGGCATATGGGCAGCTTCTTGGGTCCTGGCAATGTTTTACTTCTTGAACTGAGAGGGGTTACATAAGTATCTTCTCTACAATATTTTGTTAAGAGAACATATTTATATTTTATGCACTTTTCCACTGTGTGTATTTCACAATTTAAAATGTTTTTCAAAAGTGTGATTTGGAACCACTGCTGTGATCTAATTATCAGAGCAGCCAAACCAAAATATCTCATTTCCTTGGTAACTTAGTCCTGTGAATCTGAATGCCTTATATTATTCGATGGTACTAATGATGAAGATGATTGATGAATCTGTATCTACAACTAATATGCAAAACTGTTTTTCCTGAGAATTTCGCAATTGGGCCTATTATTCATTTAAGAATGTAACCTAATGCAATCTATCTAAAATAACAAAGATATAGCTGGCTAATTAATTGCAATAAATACTGACATTTAGTGAGCAGATGAATAAAACACACACAAAAGGACACAGCAATCTCTTAGCAAAAGCTGTGATTAAAATGCCCCTGACTGAGTAGTAGCAAACACAAATGCGGCCACAGATGCTGCATAATTATTGCTTTGAAATAGTTCAAGGTTCAGATGCTTAGAATACATTACACTTTTCAATCCTCAATTCATTTCTATATTTAGGGCTACTCTGCTTCTCTGCACGGCCTGAGTAAAGTGACTGGAACAGATGGAATCTATTTCTCTGGCTATATTTCTTGGTGTGTCAATACTGAACTTTGTATATTAAGAGGTGGTAATTATGATTAGCTTCATTATACTATTGAGAAAATTTAAACCCAGACAGGTTAAAATAACTTGCTTAAGATCACACAGCTAGCTGGTAAGTAGCAGGGCTTTGGGATGTGAGGTCAGATCTGACTCCCAAGCCCATCCTTCTTCTTCACTCTATGATGTGACAGCAACTATGTGCATGTATTTCTGCATCCAAATAGACATCATCCATCTACATGTAGATGCACACACTCATATGCACACTTTTCTCCCTCCCTCTCACCTCTCTCCCTCCTTCTGAGAAAGAGAGAGACAGACGGAGAGAGAGAGAACTTGACTAGAATTCTTTTTATTTACCACTTTAGGTAAC